TAAGTCGAACAATCGCTAAATTATTTGTTTTTCCACCATCACCAAATTTAAAATAATTTTTGTGCAATTCTCCTTTATATTAATAAATTACTTCAATAACTCTCAACCAGAATATGAAATCAGGAAGGAAACTAATTGAACCTGTAAATAATGCAGCGAGCTTTCGAAAATTGCAAACACAGAAAGCAAAAGCTTGTCTGAAATCTGCCCTGAGCTTAATCCCTGATTACATGGGAACTCTCCAGCTGTTACAAAAAAAGACTTTATCTCTGGTTTTCTACCAAATGGCGATTCACTTTGAAAATTTTCGTTCAAATCTCATAATTATGTATTACATTATCAAATTGAACCAGCTTGTATAGTGATGAATTTTTTTTAATATTTTTATTCTGAATTTCGCGAAACGATTATTCAAGCATTGTAGAATTCTATCCAAATATTTGTGAAATTTGAAATAACTAGATTTGAGCATGTTTCATAAATTCCCCGACTGGTGGAAAATTTCAACTATCACTGCAGTCAGAGAAATCCAAAATACATCAACCACTTTCCACTTTCGAAAATGCATTTTTCGATGTGTTAGAAGAACTACTTCTAGAAGTTGATGATAACCAGTCTATTTTTGATCTGTATATGTAGTGTAGGGAGGGTTAGTGTAGGCCCACAGCACTTACGCCACATGTGACTCATTGTACATCCTTCCGAAGAGTTGTCCTTCTAGGTCATCGTCCATCCTGTCCTTTCCGGGAAGGTGGAGAGTTAAGTACCAGACATCTCCTTTACATCTGGAGGTGTAGGCCAAGACTCGCTGAACACACACTCTCTCATTGACGATAACTCCGGGCACCGCATAGGACATGCCTGACAGTCTCATCTTCCTGTTTACACATCCTGCATAGAAGTGTGTCCACTAGCCCCATATTATGGAGGTATTTTTTTAATTGATAATGGTTAGTCAGACATCCTACTGTTAGGCGTAGATTTTTCCTGGTCATCGCCAGATATTTCTTCGGCGCCAGCTTCCCAGGGTCGCACAGGGTGATCCTGGCAAGATTGTATATTTTGATTCTATCCCAACTCTTTAGGGATTGAGCATGGGTGCGACATTTGGCTAGTACCGCAATTGTCGAAGTCATCAGGTCGAAGGTGTCACTGGGTCCTAAAATTCTTAATCCAGCCGCTTCCTTGGCTAAAGAATCGGCAAAGTGATTACCTTTACTCCTCTCGTGTCCTTTAACCCACCTAAGGATAATGTTATTATCCACCGAGGCTTTGGCTAAATCTTGGTGGCACTCTAGTGCTAGCCCTGAAGTAACACAGTGTCTGTTCAAGGCTAAAAGTGCTTGTCTGCTATCAGTGCAGATTGTTAGGTTTTTGCCAGAAATTCTTTTCTTGGTTATTTCTTTTGTGGCGATTGAGATACCAGCCAGCTCTGTTTGGACCACGCTGGTATTTCTTCCCATTCCCCACTTAATCCTTAGGCTTAGTGATCTGGAGTACACTCCACATCCTGAGCCTTCTTTGGTTTTTGAGTCATCTGTATAAATCCGTATTGCATTTGTAGCATCTGACTCTGTGTTCTGTTTTGTTTGTATTTTGTAGGGTTCATTAAATACAAACTTAGGTTCAATTGCATCACTGGTTGCCTGCAGCAGAGGTTGCGCAGTAACCGCTTCTCGCCGTAGCCTCAACTGACCCATTCCTACTTCGAGGTTTCCAGCAGCCGTGCGCAATCGTAACATGGCCATCAACACAGCCTCCTCAACGTACAGGTCCAGAGGGGTCAGACCAGTGATTATTTTGATTCCAGAATTTATCTAGTTCGAAACTTTTCAAACTTCTCAAATTCTGTGTACTGCCTACTCCCCAAAGGGACTTATTATTCTTTCACCTTCCAGTTGGAAAAGTCTACAGTTTTGCAGTATCACACTCAAGTAACCATTTGAATTAATCAAAATGTCCTTATTTATCTTCCAGGGCCGATTCAGTGACATGGAATCCTCACAAATTGATGGGTGCTCTGTTACAGTGTTCAACGATACACTTCAAAGAAGATGTAAGTTATTCTCAAAATACTGTCAATTGACAGTTATCCTTCAGTTCAAAATCAAACTTATTACATACGCATTCCTTCCTAAAATAATACCTCTGAGATAACTATTTGTTTGAAACTGAATTCGCTTCTTGAACATTTATCTAGAAATTGATAATGGGCTGAAATTTATTGAATGAATGGTTAACCGTCATTTCAAATTTGCAGGGGCTACTCATGAGTTGCAATCAGATGTCTGCTGATTACCTGTTCATGCAGGACAAGTTATATGACATTCGGTACGACACTGGCGACAAAGTTATTCAGTGCGGCCGTCATAACGACATCTTCAAGTTGTGGCTACAATGGAGAGCTAAGGTAAGTGTGTAATTAAAAACTAAGTCGATGTAATTCGTTATCCTACAGAGAAAACGTTTCAGTTGAAAAGGAAATATAAAAAAAAAATCATTCCCCAGGTGAGGCTCGAACTCACAACCCCGGCATCGCTCACGACTACTGTCTTATAAGTACCGTGCGCTAACCAATTGCGCCACTGGGGATATGTTAACCAATGTCCGTAAAAGTGTACATCAAGAAAATTGAATTATCGGATATATACAACATTATTGATCAGCATTTTTTCATGATTTAATGACTCAAAACCTAAATAGAGTTTCGTCTCCTCTTCAGAGATGAAGAGAGAAGTGAACACAAAAAAAATTTGTGGTTGAAGACATAGAAAAGTAGAAAAGAAGAAGACGTAGTAGAACATTTTGTATTTAAAAAAGATGGGGAATTTTGGGCCGTGGAGATTGAAAAAAATAATAGTAAACAAATAAATAAAGATTAAAAAAATAAAAATGAGAGAGGAGAAAGGAAGAGGTAATAAGAAAAGGAAAAGAACCAGGAGAAGGTCAGAATTTCCCAACATGCATAACTTCTTTTCGCTGATTTTTCGACTTGGAATAGTTGGGAAATTTCGGGCCATGAAGATAGAAAAAATAATAGTAGAAAACAATAAGCACAATATTATTCGTGTTGTTACTTTTCATTTGTATTGAATATTCCTATACATGGTCGATATGGTGGAAGACCAAGGACCTTGGAGCAAAGTAGAATAATTACTAAAATTTATTTTTGTTTGTGCATACCATAACGGGCAAAAACATTCAGCAAATCTTTGGATAGCTAAGTAAGAAAATCAATATATTATAGTTGGAACTAATCCGTCGGCTTTCATTTTTTCGAAAGTTGGAAAATTTTGCTGGTGGGGTTGGAAAAATTTTGGATTTCCCCCCCCCCACCGGTTTTTCTTTTCGCTACGGTCCTGCCTGTATTCCACAACCTATCTCCATTGAAATATTCATAATTCCTCGTTCACAGGTATCTAAAAAGTCTACAAACGCAAATCAAAAACTCTTTTTTTTTTTTCTAGGGCGATGAAGGCTTCGAGCAGCACATGGACAGACTGATGGAACTTTCTGAGTACATGGTGAAACGCATCAAGGAACAGCCAGACAAATTCTATCTCATTATGGAACCAGAAATGGTCAACGTGTCCTTCTGGTACATTCCTAAGCGCCTCCGCAAAGAACCCCATGGACCCGAGAGAGAAAGAAAACTTGGAGAGGTAAATTTATTTACACTCACATTACTTGATTTCATATCCAAACATGGATTTGAGATCCATGTTTACCACTTAAACTTTTCGAAATATAACAGCTGAAGTGAGCATACACCAAATCTGGAGCACTTTTTATCGACGCGCATTTCTGTAACCAACTTAACTTCATCAGAAGATGATTGAAACTGAATGAGTTGTAATCTGCATGAAGTTCTTATTTGTGCTGGAATTTTTTACATTATTGTTATTGGGCCTGTGTTTACTGAAGAAAACTTGACTAGCGAGGTTTTGCAGGGAAAAAGTTAACTATTTCTGGATTTCATCTCATTCTACTGAGTATTAGTTTGATTTTTACTGTCTTTCCAAATCTTCTTGTTGTTTCATGGTTGTTAGACAAATTTCGGTTTCCATTTTCCAGATGTGTCCGCGATTGAAAGCAAAAATGATGGAAGAAGGAACTCTAATGACGGGTTACCAACCAGACGACAGAAGACCCAACTTCTACAGGAACATTATCTCTTCTGCTGCCGTAACAGAAGCGGACATCGACTTCCTGCTCAACGAAATGGACCGGCTTGGTCAAGACATGTAAATCCGCTGTTGAAAATTAATGTTTTCCATGTATATTGTTTGGTGTTCAACCGAAGCCGTTCATTTTGGAGATTATAGTTGAAGTAGATGGAAATAGGTTAGTTCATCGTAACTAAATACATCTCTACCTCTCGATGTGTCAACGTGACAGAAAGTTTCACTTCAAAATGAAGAGCTTCGAAGGTTTTTTAAAGGTTACCAAATTTTCCCTCAATCTTGACCTAGTATATAGTTGAGGAACTTAATGTAGGTTCCTTTGTTCAAATGAGATTAATATTATTCATTTTCCAAAAGAAGAGCATTCGCATTGAAGATACAGGGCGTTCCAAATGGACAAACAAAAATAATATGCGAAAAGAACTATAAAAATATACGATTTTTATGGTTCTTAAGCAGAAAATTATTTTTTTTTTGCCGGTTACTAGCTTTTTCCGTCAGTTGTAGACGGGGCAAACGAAAATCTTGGAAATATGGGAGAGGGTACTTTAACAAAAGTTATTCTATGGCTTTCATGAATTTATTTATGGGGCAAGTATAACAGGAAAAATTTTCATTTGCAGAAAAGTGACATCTATATGCAAATGTGATGAACTCCTGAACGGCTTTTGTTATTGCCTAAGATGAGTTATTCAACTTCTTATGAAAGCTTGGTCTTTTTTGAGAAGTTGAAGTGTTCAAAACATTTTGGAAATGTATCTGGGTTAGTTAAAGTATTTAAAACGCTTTGGAAATGAATCTGGGTCAGGTAAAATGTATCTGGGTCAGTTGAAGTGTTCATAACATTTCGGTAATATATTTGGGTCAGTTAAAGTGTTTCTGGATCAGTTAAATTATCTAAATCATTCATGAAATGTATTTGGGTCACTTGAAGTATATCTGATGGGTCAGTTGAAGTGTACCTATCTGGATCAGTTAAATTATCTGAAACATTCTTGAAATGTATCTGGGTCGGTTGAAGTGTATCTTGGTCAAATAAAGTATTCAAACATTTCAGAAATATATCTGGCTCAGTTAAAGTGTTCATAATGCTTTAGAAATGAATCTGGGTCAATTGAAATATATCTTGGTCAGTTGAAGTGTTCAAAACATTTTAGAAATGTATCTGGGTCAGTTAAAGTGTACCTATCTGGATCAGTTAAATTATCTGAAACATTCTTGAAATGTATCTGGGTCGGTTGAAGTGTATCTTGGTCAAATAAAGTATTCAAAACATTTCGGAAATATATTTGGCTTAGTTAAAGTGTTCATAATGCTTTAGAACTGAATCTGAGTCAGTTGAAGTGTATCTGGGGTCAGTTGACGTGTTCAAAACAGTTTGTGAATGTATCTGTGCCATTTAAATTGTATCTGAGTCAGCTTAAGTGTCCAAAACATTTTGGGCACTTTAATCTGGCCCAGATACACTTGAACCTTCCCAGATACATTTCCAAATTGTTTCTGCGTTCGCAGAATATCAGATTATAGATGACATTTCAACTTCAAGAACATGATGGATTGTTGGAATGAGATTTTATCGTAGTGATATTCATATCAGTTTCGCTAAAATATGCATGATGTGATATGCCAAACACCAATAGAATGTTCTGATCCTTTCATCTAAGTAGATATCCAAATACAGTGATAAATCATTCAGTTTCCGTTGAACTAATTCCTAAATGACCCATAGATTAGTATGACCTATAGATTAGTATTGCCACAGATTGATTAGGAATTAAAAAACTTGAGAATGAATAATATATATTTACGATACCTAGATACCTAGATTGGAAGATGGAATAGTGGATGGATCATGACGTATAAAAACGTACATTCTGTGTGTTCTGTGTGAATAAAGAAGTCTTCCTCATAAAGCTTACGTGGTGGTTGGGTTCCATATGTGAGAGGATTTGGTAACCTTTTCAGAAATATGTTGTAGATGTCTTTTTGAAGTAAGTGATATCATATCCATTTCGCCATATCACTGAATGTAAAAAAATCTTGAAGTATATGTCATTTAAAAGATATAATTTGAATTAGGTGGATAAAATGTGTAGCTGACGCAATAATTCATGTGTATAGAAAATGTTGATTTGACATTAGAGTTTATTCATGCTTGTTCAGAGGCAAGTACATTAAAACCTTCCAAAACGAGGTGCTTCCATATATTTATTAACTGAATATAATGTTGATTGTTGCAAGTAACATGTATATCTATGTAGTCTATTTATCATATTATTATTCCACTTTATTCAAATGTTATTTATTGTAAGAAATTTGAAAATCTACGAAGTCGTAAAATAGCCACTGCTTCAACTGTTTGGGAGATTTATACTTGTTGCAAAAGTTCAAAATTCCTGAAAATAACATATCAATACACTTTTTTGAATTTAAAAATTTTCGAGTTGTTGGGAAAATAGCTGAGATTTTGAAATGTAAGTCGATACTGAAAATGCTGTTAAGAAATCAGGATCAAATAAGGTTTTAGGAGGTTCAAACCTTTTGTTTGTCTACTGTTTCGGAAATTTCGAAGTCATCTTGAAATCTGAACTTTTATTCCAGATTTTGACTATTACTTCGTAATCTTATGTTTTCGACATTGTAGTTTGTTTACTACTTTATTGGAACCATATCTCTCAAGGACGAATATATTTAAAGGTTTGATAATAGATAATAGTCGCTGGGGGACAAATGTGGAAAATACAGTGGATACGGAGGCAATTTTAAGTACAAAACACGCAACCTTGATTGCGATTGACTTGTGACACAGCTCATCGTCTTGGTAAAGAAAAAAATTGTTCTTCATTCGATTAATAATTGAAATGTAATGAAGCTTTCAAGAATGAAATTGAAAATCGTAGGAATAGATATATGCTTACGATGTTTTATAGATCTTCAGATGAAGTGAAAATCTCGAGAAAAAGCCAAAATCTTATTAAAATTCAAGATATTGAGCTAAAGTGAGGTGTTGAAAAGAAATCGAGATTTATAATGAGAATCGAGGATCGAGGTACTAAGAAAAAGTCAAGGTCTTGAAAAAGTCAAGGTCTAGAGCAAAAAGATGGGTTCTCTAGGAAAATCCGTCATAAATATTGGAAAAATCGAGATATTGAGTAGAACTCGAGGTACCTAGCAAAAATGAGGCCATGAAAAAATCGAATTCTTGAGTAAAAATCGAGATATTGGGTAAAAATCGAAATCTGGAAAGTTGAAATCTTGATTAAATTCTAGATATTGAATGAAAGTCGAGATATTGGAAACATATTGAGTAAATATTGAGTAAAGTTTTAGATACTAAGCAAAAGTTGAAATCCAGGAAATGTCAAATTCTAAAAAAATATAAATTTCGAGAAAATAAAAAATTTTTAGTAAAACTCGAGATATTGAGAAAAAATCGCGATCTGGAAATATAAGAACTTAACAATCAAGACCTTACTGTGAGATATTGAGGAAAAATTGAGATTTGAATGAAAATCGAGGTACTGACAAAAAGTCAGTGTCTTGAAAAAGTCAAGATTTTGAAAAACAATCGGAATATTGAATAAAATTAGGAACACAGGAAAAAATCAATACCTTAAGTATAGTTCGAGTTACTGAGAATGTTGATATCTTGAAAATGAGATCTTGAAAAAGGCGTGATTTTGAAAAAATTCGAAATATTCAGTAAAAAATTAAGATATTGAGAAAACGTCGAGTTCTGCAAAAATCGAAATCTCGAGTGGAAGAGAAATAAAATACAAATTTTGGTTATAATTCGGGGTATCAAGAAAAAGTCGAGATCTTGATAATTCGAAAAAGATCTTTAAGAAAGTGAAGATTTCGATGAAAAAAAGAGATCGTGAACAACTCGAAATCTTGAACAAAATATCTAAACCTCTAGAAAAATTCGAAATATTGAGGAAATGACAAGATCAAAATTTCGAAAATAAATCAGACGAAATAAGAGATGAAATATCGATTAAAAATAACATGTCAGGCTCTATGTTTTGCTATGATTCAACTTTTTACTCGGTATTTTCATTTTTTGATCATGACTGTTTTCTCTTTTGAGATGTTGAGACATAAGACAAAATAGGAAACGTCAGTCACATTTACGACTTCGTATATATGAGAATATTATTGTTGATTTTCATATTGATCAAATTGATGTCTATATACTTTTACTATTTATTCCGAGATTATATATAATTGTTGATTTTTCAATGGTTTAATCATCTTTTTCATTAATGTTGTGATTTGATGTTAGGTCAATTCAATAATGGATATATCAGGAGTTTGCAAATGTACAAAAATTCAAAAATTGTTGAAACTGCCAAAATTATATTATTCATTGACCCACTTAGATAGATTCTAATACAATATATTGATTCGCTAAAAAAGTCAACTGAACTCATCAACGTTATGAATATGTACAATTTGAAGATTTGATCACTTACTGTTACAAAATATGAATTGAAACATATATGAAAAAAAAACTGATGGAAATTATGCAAACAAAATAGTCAACTTTGTAAATTCAGTAGTAAAGTGTAACTCAGTTTCAAATAATGTTTCAGTAAGTATACAGAAAGTAAATCTTTAGAGTAACTTCATAAGTTTATGCGGCTCTATAATAGCAACAAAATCATATCGTCTTCCATATTATATACTGTTAATTTAAAAAATATCAATAGATCATTTAGTTATGGCTTCCATACCATGAAGAAGAATCGAAACATTTTCAGTATTGTAATAAATGTGTATACTATAAATAAAAAATATATAAAATGTGTTGGAAAAAATTATACTATAGTAAGTTTAATTGTTTGTTTTTTATTCTTGTTCCTTTCTGTGCATACTATGTTTTCCAGACTACAGTTGTACACAACAATTACATAATCGTTGGCAGGAGGAAAAGATAATAATAATGGACTAACATTACAGCGTGGTCCATCCAAATATTATACATTTTATATTTCAATCATAGTGCATATATAGTGTTGTCACGAAAGTTGGCATAACATGAGATTTTTTATACTATCCATGACAATATTTAAGGGTTACTTTTTCACAAGAATATTACATAAATTACAGAACATAATAAGCTGTCAACAAAACTAGGCAAACAGGTAGATTTCGAAAAAAATATTGGTCTCAATAATCAATTTTCGGTGAGCAGGTGAATTATGAGAACGATGAGTGATTAATAAGTGTGAGGAACTACAAAGTATTCTTGAATACTCATGGCTGACATCTATATTACAATTTACAATTTTACAAAACATTTAGCAAAGTGTGAAATACAAAATATTGATGAATCCTTATGTCTAGTGACTATATTACTGAAAGATGAAACAATTCTGGTATTCACAAGAAAAAATATGTAGCAAATCTGGTACAAAGAAAATGGTAAGGTAACGAAAAGCTTCGAAAACGCTATAACCTTTTTTAAAGACCTTAAGTGATACATAAAACAGATCTATAAGTTATTATGAAGTTATATGATTGATTTCCCAGCTTCAAAATTCGAGGCATCAGACTGTTGAAAACATAATTGGTATGGAAAAAATGTATATGAAAAATGTTTGTTTAATATGAAAAGTTGTCACTTGAAGTAGTTCTGGTCAGTTTATCTAACTATTTATTAATTTGAATTCATGGGAATTCTTCTTCCAATGATTTTATATTTGACTTGGTTGAGAGTTGACTGTACTCATATTCATTTCGTTGAATACCAAAGTGAAAAAGCACAATTCTTTGAGAATTTCTTTTGAACATTCTCAATTAAATCGATATTTACATTATAGTATGGGCCCCATATAACCGAACAGTATTCAAGAATGGATCTTACGAAAGCACAATATAAAATCATTTTTGTTTTAATTGTAAAATCAGTAGAAATTCTCAACACAAAACCCA